TAATATTTAATAAAGCACACAATGACATCAGCTCTCAGTAATATTAATACACAACACCAGTCCAGGAAGCAACCGTCCAACCTTCCTGGACCGGGAACAAGACCTCACTGACTAACACACTCTCTCGCACATTCAATGAAGACTAAGCAATTCAGTTTATAACACGTGCAGACTGTTCACAATCATAACCTGGGCCTGGGAGTACATAAACAAAGGGATAGAACTATCATACCAAAATATCAACACAGTAACATATTCACTCTCGCCATACATCCCCCTGACAGAATTGACATCTTTTCTAACATCCAACCAGATTCTTCACTTTATCCAACCAGATTCTTCACTTTATCCAACCAGATTCTTCACTTTATCCAACCAGATTCTTCACTTTATCCAACCAGATTCTTCACTTTATCCAACCAGATTCTTCACTTTATCCAACCAGATTCTTCACTTTATCCAACCAGATTCTTCACTTTATCCAACCAGATTCTTCACTTTTCTTCGAAGTTTTAGATTCAGTCTACTTTTTGTTTTCTTCACATCTCCCATTAACACACACACATTAATTGGTACAGCACCACTTGCCTTGATAACAAAACACGATCCGTAAGGATGCCAGGTACAAGGCTAGCTGAAGGACAGCAGCGCGGAGAGTTCAAAGAATTAAAAATAAGAGAAGATTCATGTGGGCTAAAAATTAAAACATAAACACGCTGGTTGTTTGTTCATACAAGAAGAAAAGAACAAAAAAAAATAATAATATGAAAATAGCAAGGAATGAAATCCATGAAACAAAGAGTGAGAACCCTAAAAGTGTGTGATTTTCTACATTTTGATGTTTGGGCGGGCCGGATAACACTATGTCGGGGGGTGTATTTTGGCATCAATGATATATTCGACTTAAATAACTTCGTTACAATTGACATACTGGAGTTTTTAAATTCCTGCTTAAGCTAATGGGGCAGGCAGAGGAAACAGTGGAGCATGTTTTACAAGAGTGTCCAAGATCTGCGGTGAGACAACTGAAGGGTCAGTGACCTCCATGGGAGCTATGAAGCACTACGTTCAACAGTTTCTTACCCGAGCACTACGGGAGGTCCATCCTTTCCTGTTCTGCAACCATTAGTTCATCCAAGATTCATGTTGTCCAATGCGTTATGTATTTCTATGCAAAGTTTACTTATTAAGATTCAAATTTATGAATGCGCTGATCAACCTTTTTCAAAACGTACACATTTTGGTTCACATGTTACAGATAAATCACGTTTTCTTATTCACAGAAAACTCTGTGACCATGGTATAAATGGCGAACCATAAACCTTACTTATATTTAAATATACTACTGACGATTACTGCTGACTCTTAACCTTACATACGACAGTTCAGAGCTTTACACCACGACCAGGAGTAACGGTACGTTATGTATTAAGCGCATTTACTTTGTCTGTTAAAACTATTTCTGCCGCGACAATCCAAATGTTTGAAATCCATTCTGATACAGCGTGTCTGCAACTATCTTCGAATTGTAAATTCCATTGAAAACAAAAGCACGTTGTATATGTTCAGTTTGACATGTTAGAATACGACCCAAAAAAATCAATATTTTCGATGGTCTTAAGCGACATCTCACAAATTGTCAATCGACCCCCAAGGGGAAGCCGATCCACAGGTTGAGAACCCCTGCTGTAGACGATGAAACCCATTAGAAAAAGTTATACACTTAAGCCTAGGACCTTTCTTTCCCACCTACCTACTGAGTCTTCGGTTTATAAGATGTTGGGTCTTGGGTTTATTAGATGTTGACTCAAACGAAAAAGTGCAGCACCACTATGTTACACGCCATCCTATTGGTCCTAGCTTGTTACAAGACGAGAATGTACAATTAAATGAACATTAAAACTGTCTTATGTAAACTGTAAAGATAGAGTGTGTTTATTCAACTTTACAAAATGAAGAGTGAACAATAGAGTTCTTGTGTGTTCTCTTCAAAACAGATCTACAGGGATCTAGAACAGAAATGAAGTATAATTCTAATAACAACATGAAATGATGAGTTTAGGCGGGAATCAGAACAATTTATAAATACAATTTAAAACAACTTCATCACAGTTCAACAATTATTTCAGGTGAAAAAAAAATTAAAAATTAAGTGTGAAAAAAAAAGTGTAAGTGAAATAATCCAAAAAAAAAAAACAACATTGTACAGACTTACAAGGGTGTATTTCGGATAATGAAACTGAACTTAGTACCTCGGACAACAATTTATTTTTATTATCAGGAATTGAAATGAAACGTAGATGACACATTGTTTTATTTCTTTCATTCTTTTCCCTATCTTAATTTACATAAATATACCTATTTTATCACATACATATTGTTTAGAAAGAGATAATTATTTCACATTTTTACAGTGCAATTCCGTATTCGAAACCATAAGGAATTCATAATGTTATAGTTATTCATTGCTATAGGGCGGTGTATCAATGGTAGGAGTATAAAAATATATCAATCGCGCCTTCCTTCCCAGCCATTCAGAGATACGGAGAGGTCCTCAAGCGCCCTGCATTCTGAGATTCATAAACTCATTTTCCTTGCTTTGGTGAAAAAGTATTAAATAAATATAGAAAACAGAAGAGGGGGTGGGACTGGTCAGGTGCTTGAAAAATGCAGCGCCCGTACGTTTGGTTTGGATTTATTAGGTGATTGACCGTTGTAAAATCATACTCGTCCTCAAAAAACCTCATATAGCGAGTTCTCCTTGATTACACACAAGACATCAAAATGTTTACAATGAGAGAGATTTATATTAGAAAGAAATTTGACTGTTCTGCTATGAGAAAGATGGGTAGAATCACGTCGGAAAAGTGGTATTGAAATCTGTCTGTAATGAGCTCCTTCAGTAAATCTTGATGCAGAAGCCTCCACTGAAAATGATACCTTATTACTTATTTAAAATTTGTTTACTGCCACCTCATAGTAAGAAAACCCTAGAATCATTTCCACTCGTACTCTTTTAATCACAAATCACCAAAGTTGGCAGTGATTCTGAATCCTCTAACTATGGCACAACTAGGAGATGGCATTAAATATAAAATGTATAGATTTTTGCATGTAAAAAAAATAAATTTACCTCCTTCGAGGCCTGCTACCTTATCAGCAGTAGCACCCCCCCTCTCCTGGAGAGGCACAGCCCACAGAATGAGAAAAGTAGCCCTATGAGATTTTCAAAGTTACCCTCATCAGAGTAATTTTTTTAGTTTTATATTTTGATTTTTTAAATCCAGTTTACATTACTGACATTCCTTTAAGCTATAACATACAGACAGAGAAAAAGAAGAGAAAGCAATTTGGAGTACAGTGTTGGTGAGATTTGAAGTGATAATGAAACCTAAAGAAAAACGTATTTAAAAAATCGTAAAATAAAGACAAAATTAAAAAATGTCAAGGACGCTATATTAAATATTACTCTTGTTAACTAACTAATAAAAAGTATGCAATAAAAATTTTAAATTGTTACTAACGAAAGAGCCAAAGAAATTTGATTCTGTGGTGCAAATAAAAAAGCACAAAACTAATTATATACTTTTGTCAAACTGTATAGCTTATCAAAATACTTTCTATTCTGTAACTAGATGCTCCAAAAAAAAAAAATTAAAAACTTCTTTAAAAAAAAAATTAAGCTTATCTAAGGGAAAGCACTCTGCACTTACAGCCATATTACTCAATATTGTAGAAGTTATTTCCCTCATTCTAAACCCAAAAAAAAATTACCAATTATTTATTGATACAATTTTTTTTTTTATTGATTCAAGTTTGTTATGTACAAAAAAATGAATGTTTAAGGTTTGAACTTGATCTGATAATGGGATTGGGAGAAATAATGTTCAATTATCTATCTAAGGGGACAAAACCCTACAAATTTACTCATATCTGTGAATATTGAAGTTTAATTTTCCAGTTGGTATGAGACTAAATAATTAATTACCAGTGATTATTTGACTAAATGGTAATTTTTTTTTTACAAAGCTCAGATCAACTCACTCTGTCTGACGTATCTGTCTGTCTGTTTGTACATATATTTACTCAGAAACTCAATCCCAGATCAAGCTGAAAATTTGTACAATTGTTTCTTTACCTGACAACACAAGAATCAATTTAAAATAATAACAAATTAGTTAATTAATTATTGGTAAATTACTTTGTTCGGTATCTCAAACAAGGGAAAGAAAGGTAGTGGTGGTGGTATAAGCTGAATTAGTCCCTTTCCAAAGGAAAGAAATAGTACTTGAGTGGTGCTATTAGCTGAATTAGTCCCCTTTATAGATTGCCATTTGAGTCTTATTACAAATTTATATACATGACTGATCCAAACTAATTGATACATTTAATTTAAGTTTTGCTTTTTAAAAAAAAAAAAATTATTTTATTTGTTAATTATTTATGTCTTTTGTATGCAAATGAATAATTGTGCAAAGGTTCAACTTGACCCAAGAATGGGTGTGAGAGAATTAACATGTATAAAGTTTTTTACCAGACAGACAGACAGATTCAGTTGATATAAGCCATATAAACTTTTTAAAAAGCTAGAATTTGAAGGATTCAACTCTATGAAAATCCATCTTAGTGTAAAAAGAACTATCAACAATAGGCAAAGGTAGCAGGGCATCCCAACAAGGCAGGTCATGTCCTAGAAATGCTAGAACAAAGAGCACTTAAAAATTAACTTGATAGAACCTGAGGTTAACACACGACTATCATGTAAAACTACTTAGCACTTTTTAGAGCAGGTCTGAGGCACCAATACATTAGCAAAACTAACTTTTCATACAAAGATTTTAAATTCTATAAAATACATAATATAAATTTTATTTATAAATAGTCTTCAATATCAATAATAATCACGTATAATACACAAATACTATTTTGTGTACAAAATTTTCAGGGATTAGTAATGATATGTACAAAACTCAAATACTACATATATCAAGAAATGTTTTGACAAAAAAATTCATGTTATGTTAATTATTACAAACATAAATTATATATTTCACTTTGATATAAATTGCTATGAAAAGTTTTATATATATTTTTGTTTAAAAAAAAACAACTCATTATTAATTTATGTAATATAAAAGTTTCTTGTCACCTGAAAGTTCTTCTAAACAGTCTCAGCCAAGCTCTACAACCTCCAAGACTGAGACTGAGATGATGCTTTGAGTAAAGCCATTGTTTAGTCAAGACTGAATGTCATTACAAGAAATGAAATGAAAAGGGAAAAAATCTATCAGAAAGGATTTGATTGGATTGGTCAAGGTAAGTGTTGAAGTTTGGAGATTCAACCAGATTTGGAATGAAATTATTTGTTCTTAAATTAGTCAACAGTCTGCATACTAAAAGAGACTAAAGAATTTCATCATTTTGCTTTGCTACATTGTACTGGAGGTGAAGCGTCTTTGTTAAACAACTCAACAGTTATTAGATTGAATGTGTTATTCATTCAGTTAATATGGCAATGTCTTCCATTCCGAAGATTAAGGTCAAAGTTGTAAAGTTTTATTTAATGACGTCTACCTGCTTTTTTTTATTATTTGTAAAAAGAAGGAAAATAAAAGACATGTGGTTGAATCACACAAACTTGTAATCTGCAGACCTGAAAGATGGTGGATGTAGAATCACACAAACTTGTAAGCTGCAGACCTGAAAGATAGTGGATGTAGAATCACACAAACTTGTAATCTGCAGACCTGAAAGATGGTGGATGTAGAATCACACAAACTTGTAAGCTGCAGACCTGAAAGATAGTGGATGTAGAATCACACAAACTTGTAAGCTGCAGACCTGAAAGATGGTGGATGTAGAATCACATAAACTTGTATGTTACAGATACCCTGAATGTTTCTTCATTTTTATCTTCCTCATCGTTGATGAAGACCATGATTTCTGCTGCACCTGGCTGCATGACAGGCAAAAACTTGAGACCAATAGGATGGGTGCCTCCACCTTCTATCTCCAGCAAGGACTCTTTAAACTGGAGGAGGTCATTCCTGTCACACAGCAACCTGAATCTCTTCATCACAGGGTAAGGGTTGGTGTAGGTAATGCGCTTGCTGCTGTTCTTACCACCTCCCACAGGAAGAACCAGCTCAAAGGCCCTGGAGACTATGGGAGAGCGGCAGTTGGCACAGACCAGCCAGGACCTGACCAGCTGGTGGTACTCAATGTCCACAACGTTGACGTAAAAAAACTTGCTGCCCGTTCGCATGGGCCTGACCCCTATGGCCAGCTCATGGACTGTTCCTGCTGCCAAAATAAAGGGATCTTGTGGAGAAACAACAAGCTCTTGAGGATGTGATGTAAAACATTTCACAACTCTTGATGCCTGGGTACCCCTACAAAATACAAAGGAAATATACAACCTAAGGTAACTCCCAAGCAAAGGCTTATATAGCTAGTGTTAATTGCAAACTTCCTTGAAATTTATAAACAAAACAAGAGGTTGCAAAGAAAAATTTCTTTTTGTTCGCATAATTGCACAGCTAAAAATTATCTTTAGAAAGATTTTTTTTTTTGTTCACATAATTCCTAGACAATTTCTAATACTATCTTTTTTTGTAAAGACATTTTTCTAGTTTTATTTTTGATAAAGCACCAATAATTTTTCCAAAGCAAAACTAAAAATATTTTCTTCAGAATGCATTGAACATTTCATAATAAGCTGATTTCTTTCAAATTAATGTTTAACCACCTGAACAGTTTTCATATAATAAATGCATTATAAAATGTTAAATGAATTGTGTTCATTGGGATAAAATTAAAATATTGTGAATTACAATTACTAGGTTTTATAAATATCACCTTGTCCTAAAGGTTGCTAATTGGCTTCACTAGAAAGACTAACTTAGAATTAAAATAAAGAGATGTATAAGTAAAGGGCAGATGATATAAAAGTCATCTGTTTCTTTAGCCACCAATTAACTAAGATGTTATATGGCCAGCACAAAGACCAACTGGTTGTACTTTCCCCAACTATTGTAAGGTACCCATCACAATAGGGTAGATTCAGGGGCATCCAAAAAAAGCCAGAAATTCAAAATCCCAGTCTTCTCCAAAATTTGAATCTGAGACCCATCAGTTTGAAAGCCAATTACTTTACCACTTTAACCACACACGCTATTAAAAAAGCCTTATGCCTTTGGATAAGAAACAAAAATCATTATAATATAGGTTTAGTCACACTTTAAAAGTAAATCATGAATGCCTTAAAAGGCTCCAACAATTTTTAACATAATATATGTTTTCATGTACAGATAACAAATATATTTTTCTTTTAATTTTATTTTCAATTTTTTTTTAGGTAATTTTTCTGCACATCAAAAATGAACAGTGTTTCTATGTGACGTCAGAAATTCCTAAATGTGTACAGAGGCCTTTATCTGACTAGGTTGTTAACATTGGTCAGACTCCCAGCCAATTTACTTTTGGGGCAGGGAAGAATGTGGGTGGAAATGCTAGTTGTTTTTTGTTTTCTGTTAGAGTTGATAAACCTAATGCTCCGAGCAGATCTATATAGTTGTAGATCTAAGCCTAGATCTCAGTAATACAGACTACTATCTATTATATGATACCACACTATATGTTTATGCAAACATGTGTCTTACAAGCAATTAAAAACTTAAGAAAAGAGGGCTATCTTCATTTTTCTAAAATTCTATTGACTTGTTGTATTATTGATTATAGTAAAGTTTGAAATCTTGTAAAGATCTACAAGCTTGACCACTCAACATACAAACACTATTGTGTAATAAAACAAGGAAATATTGGTGGTCTTTTCATGACCACATACACACAGACTACTAAAGTTCTAGCTGCAAGCCTACACTGACTAGTTTGTGAAAATTAGTCACATGAGGCAGGGAGGGATGTGCATTTAAATCTACTTTTTTTTCTCAAGTTTATTTTCCTAATGCTTTTTGTAAAATGTTTAGATGTTTCTAATGCTTTTTATCAATGACTATCATAGCTTATGGACTAGGATATAACTAGGCCCATCAGTAATTATAGGAATGAAGGAATGCGATAGGTTAGATCTAAATCTGCTTTCAGTATTGTTGAGGGGGAGTGACGTAGACAATCCCTAAAAAAAAAATCTCATATTATCACGTTCTTATGGAGATGTGAAGAATTTACTAATTTATTAAATATAAATGTTTCTATAAGCATTTAAATAAAAAAATAGTATAATGTTTACTATTACAGCTTTTCATGCAGAATTCAAATATGTCAAAAACTCAAATCTAAAAAGCCATTGGAGTTTCCCTTTAAAAATGACTGAACTCAAAACAGGATATACAAAAAAAAAAATTGGCAACAAAATGCTTCAAAGTTTGACCTACTTCAATAGAAGTGCTATGCGTGAAGTCTGCCCTTCAATACAAGTCACATCAACTCTCTGCAGCGCATGAACATAGCACTGCCAAATCTGGGCTGGACGGGACAGGAATGGATCAATATAGGCACATAAAAAGAAACGTTTGATTTGAGGTGAGGCACCCAAAGCAACCTGGGCAAAGAAACAGATGAATGTTTAGCAATAGAACATAAATATATGCTTTAAAACATGAGATTCAGGTCATTGAATGTACTAAAAAAAATTGCAAAATATTTTCCCACTAATTAAAAAAAAGACATCATTAATTAACTGAGCATCTAGCAATAGAAATTACATTTGAGTAGAGAACAAGCATTATATACAAAAATACATTTTAAAAAACAAAGCTTATATATCAGTGTCATATCTCTCAATAGTGCAAAGTTCATCTCTAGAAAACAAAGTTAATTAATTACCACTAAATATTTAACTAATTGGTTAATTTTTATATTGATTCATGTATTGTCTTTGACTATGAATAATTTTGCACAAATTCAACTTGATCTGAGAACAGGAAATGGGAGAAAAAACTTGTAAAGATTTATTCTAGACAAACAGACAGACGGAGTGAATTAATTTCAGCTTTGTAAAAACATTGCAAACTTTACATAGAAAATGAAATCTAAACATATCTGTACATTCATGTTTGTTCTCATGTCCTATTACACACTCATCCCTTTCATTTTGAAGATAAATTATAAACATTTATTAACCGATCTTACACATTAACCCAACTCTATCTAGCACTCTGAAAACAAAAATATAAATTTTATTTTAGACAATTTTGTAGTAACACCATCATCCATTTCTATGCTAAACAACACTTTGTGACATACTGCATTACCCTCCTCCTGTGTAACACTGTTTTTAAAGATTGGTAACTAGCTTAATCATTTTCTCATATTTTTTTACCTTTTATTGTCAAAAGCAGACATGCAAATACCAGCAAGATGTTTAACAATAACTTTGAAATTAAACAATTTTAGTTTATTAAGCATTTATTTTCATGAGGAAAAAAACAGAAGAAAGATCCAAATATAGTATCACTATTTTTTTTTTTTGGCTTTTGTCGAAACATGCATTTTAATTCACATGGACTCATAATTAAAGACCAACAATAAATCTAGATCAAGTGTCTTGTGAAATGAGTGGTTTTTTTTAATTTTTTTTACACTTTTAATGAAAACAAACCTTCAAGAAAATGTCATGAGGTTCACCAGGTTGTGTAGGTTTGCAATCTATTATAACATTAGGATCACTGCATCGAACATAAACTTGATTGATGCCAACACCACCAATAGGAACACCTGAGAGAAACCAAAACAAACTGTAATGAGATCTCAGTCTCTTTAACTATTTCATATCTTTACATATAAATAAAAGTAAATAAAAAATTAAACTATATCGAGGAAAGAAAAACTAATATTATAAATGAAAATCTTTTCATGTTTAACTATTTATGGGAAACTACTGAAAAGAAAAAAAAAAGTAAGAAAAGAATAAATAAATCTTTTTTTTAAAAAACAAAGATTATCTAAAGGCAAGAACCTCAAAATCAATGTCATATATCTCAATAGTGACGAATAAACTCCTTTTTTTTCTATATAAAAAAAAAAATAATTAATAACCACTAATTGATTAACCTATTAGTTGATTAATTCATATACCATCATCAACTATGAATAATTATGCAAAATGTCAACTTGATCTAAGAATGGAAAGTGGGAGAAAAAACTTGTACAAAACAGAAAAAGGTGAATAACTCCATGTATACAGCTACATCTCTCAATAAAAAAGCAGTTATTTCCCATATTCAATACCAAAATAAATAATTAAATACCAATATTTAATTAAATAATTGTTTAATTTTTTTATTGATTCATGTTTTGTTGTGTAAAATAAATAATTGTGTTAAGTTCTTCTTGATCGAGAATGGGTGTGGGAGAATTAACATGTACAAAAATAGTATGATATAGACAGACAGATATATGGTTATATAGATAAGTTAATATAAACTATTAAATTTCTAAAATGAATAAATTGACCTCTTCGTCATAATCCACCTGTTAGACAAACAGCATCACACAATAATACAACAATGTAATAATGTTTATATTGGTGTCTGACCTGGAAGTGTTTGATATGGAGGAAGCCTGATAGATTTTTTCAGAAAAGAGTTTTCAGGATGATGGAATCTGAAAGTCTGGTCTACCACATG